TCTTTTCCGCAGCACGTCAAGCATCGTGTTTCGGAAGGCGCAGCGAAATCGTATCGGTGGCCTGAGCAAATAAACCAGAACAACCTTGGGTTATCTGCCGAAGGAAATTTGTTTTGATTTGTTTATTTTCTCTTTAATGTATTTCATTTATTTTTATTTTTGTTTTTAAACTGCTGAAACGCTGCGGCTGTTCACCTCAAGGCCGGTTTGTCGTCTATGGACCTCCGGCTGCTCACAGCGACCGCCATGGGCGTATTATCGAAAGAGGAATGCGAAGCGTTCGCTTTCTTCTTTTCCTGATTAACTTTCAAAGTTCCATTTATTATTTCTTCGGTCTTCTCCGCGTCTCTCCTGCAGCCCAGAGGATCCTCACACGCACACCACCACCCTTCGCCGTGAGGCACTCGCACAGATTCAGGGGGGCGAGCGGCTGTCAGCTGTATAGCCTCAACAAGTTGTTCTCGAGACTCAGCAATAAGGGAGAAACACTAAAAGGGCTCTCATGAATTGCACGAAGGTGCTAAACACCAAATGCATTAAACACGGACGCTCTGCTGATGCAGCTCGCGAGCCTCCCAGCAGTGCGCAGGCTGGCCGCTACATTCAAGTTTCTTCTCTTAATCGGCAAAAGTAAACTATCTGGAGAAATATGTAACAATAAGCAATGAACACTATTGCGACTTTTTAAATTGTAATTCATTGCTACTTTTCTGGAGGACCTGCCAACGACACTGGTGTGCGCCCGCCGCAGATCCGGTATGGAAAGCGTTCGTTTTCTGGCGTTCGTCGCTCCTCCCTCGACAAATAAAAACTAAATTAATAAATATCAACAGTATATGTCTAAATTATAGTAGTTTTATTAGAAATAACATCTACAAATTGTTCGTGACTGCTCACTGCCTCGACATCCTTAGATGGCTGAACGCTGACTCTGTCTGAATTGAACGGCAGACCGAAGCCGTCCTATTGAAGGATGCCGGGATGTATATACAACTGAAGTTTTGTAGAAGTGTTTCCTTTCAAGAGCGCTGCACAAAATAATTATTTTCGCCGTGTCGATTGCAGATTCCTCCCTAGACACTTCGTCCCGCTACGGGCGGCAGCCGTGGCAGCGGCTCGGGCACCGCGATCTGAAGCCCCAGGCGGGACAAAGGCAACAGACAAGCTTGCAACGTAATCTGTGCATTTAAACATAAATTAATAAACATACATTCTGCAGAAAATATCCTTCCAAACTCTT